TACAAAGATAAATGGGGTAAGTGAAGATGGCTTTAAACTAAGGTTGTTCCCATTCTCTCTTGGGGACAAAGCACACCAGTGGGAAAAAAACTTACCTCAAGGAAGCATCACCAGTTGGGATGAGTGCAAGAGAGCATTTTTAGCAAAGTTCTTCTCTACTTCAAAGACTGCTAGGATCAGGAATGAGATTTCAGTGTTTGCACAGAGGAACAAGAAAGCTTTGGTGAACCTTGGGAAATATTCAAGGGCTACACAATGCAGTGCCCTCACCATGGCTTCTCACAAGCTTCTCTCCTCTCAACTCTCTACAGAGGCGCCCTCCCAAATAGCAGAATGCTTTTGGACACTGCATCTAATGGTAACTTCTTATCTAAAGATGTTGATGAGGGATTGGAGCTTGTTGAGAATTTAGCACAGTCTGATGGGAATTACAATGAGGAGTTTGATAGAACTCAAAGGAGTGTTAAAGATGAACTGGAGTCTAGCAAGAAAGAGATCAAAGCTCTGCATGAAAAGATTCATCTACTGCTAAGGGAAAGGAAGAAGTTCACTTTGTTGGAGATATGGTTCAGCTTGATGATCAAGCGACTTGCCAAGTTGAGGAGATGAACTATCTTGGTAACCAAGGAGGCTACAATGGGTATGGCAACTACAGACCAAGCCCCAACTTATTATACAGACGCAACAATGTTGCAAATCCTCAAGACCAAGTGTACCCACCTCAACAAAAACAGCAAGCTGCTCCAAGACCTTTTGTTCCCTACAACAACAATCAAGGTTTTCAACAGAGGAACAACAACTTCCGACCAAGAGCGGCCTATAACCCTCCAGGATTCAATGCTCTAGCACCAGATCAAGCTTCCTCCAGCTCCCAAGATCCTGAACTCAATATTATGATGCAGCAAGTGCTTCAGAATCAGGTCAACACAACCTTAGATATGAACAAGAAGTTTGCTGAAGTTCATAACAAGATTGATTCTGTGCATGAGGAATTGACCAACAAGTTTGATGGCTTAGCTGAAAGGGTGAAGACCTTGGAGAACAACAAAGGCATAGCAAATGCCCCACGCCCTCATGGTACTCTTCGTGGAAAATGTGAGAACAATCCAAAGGAATACTGCCAAGCTGTTGAGTCCCTTGATGCTTTCACTTCTGAGGAAGAATCTACTATAGATGACTTTCTGTTCATGATCAATGAGGACATTGATAAGCAAATTTATGGGGAGGAACTTGTTCAAGTTTCTGATGCCAATAAGGAAGCTCAAGCTGATGTGTTCCCAGCTTATCAGCCCACTATCCCTTTTCTAGGAAGATTCAAAGAGCTGATAGTCAAAACTTATGAGACTCTCTATGCTGCTCAAATGAAAATGAGAGGTCTGAATGGTCAAGAGGAGCTTGAGAAACTGAGAGCTAAAGCTGGAGCATTTGAGGTTAAGGAGCTAAGCATCAAGAAACTTCGAGATCCAGGTTGTTTCACTCTCCCATGTGAGCTCAAAGGCAATACCTTCAAGAGCTGTTTGTGTGATCTAGGAGCCAGGATCAATCTGTTAACCGCTTCTACTGCTAAGGAGTTAGGCTGCACTAAGTTCCAGCAAAGCAATGTCTCTCTTACCATTGCTGATGGGACTGTGAAAATGCCTTTAGGAGTCCTCAAAGATGTTCCTATGCAGATTGAAGGAGTAACCATCCCTACTGACTTCTTGGTGCTGGATGTGGAAGGACAGATTAAGAATGCTATCATTCTTGGAAGGCCATTTCTTGCTTCAGTTGGCGCTGTATTTGATGCTAGAGAGTGCACCACAGAGCTGAGGCTTACTAAGAACAAGATCTTGAGGTTTGACAGCAAAGGAAACAAGCTGGAGCATGATCATGCTTTCTCTATGGACCTTAACAAGGTGAAGGGCATTGACAAGAACTAGCCAGATTTTGAGGGCTACCAAGGAGAGAGTTTTGATGGCTGCTGCTTGGCCAAGTTGTTTGAAGACACCACTGAAAAGGAGGTCCTTGAAGTGGTTGGTTACAAGAATTTGAATGATATTAAGCTGGTTACTAAGAAAGGAGAGGTGCTTTTGCAACCAAATGGCTTAAAGATGGGTGAGGTTTGTTTCAAGATACAGCAAGAGGGGAAGAGTATGCCTTTTGCTAAGATCAAGATGAATGGAGTCACTACCAGATTCAAGGGAAGCAAGACAACACCAAGGAGTTCCAACACTCCTTCTCCTCACCTCCGCTAGTGAGGTAATCAAAGTCAAGCTAAGTGACTTTAAACAATCACACTTGGGAGGTAGTCCCATGGTATCCTTTGTATATATTATGTTCTTTAGTTTATTTTTATGCTTGGTTAATATTTATAGAAGCATGGATTTGGTTTGGGGCTTGAGAAAGTGTTTAAGAGAACAAGAACAAGTGCATTGTGGCTACTATCGATCACAATATCGGTCAACACCAGATCGATACATACCCTATCGGTCATGTTATCGGTCATGAGGTGATCGATAGTGGTTGAGCCAAGATGCATCAGTCAACCTATCGGTCAGTTATGATCGATAGGGAAAAGAAGGTGCAAAGTATGAATGCTTTCAGTCATCCTATCGATCAGATATTGACCGATAGAAATACATCGGTTGTATTTCGGTCAGTCTATCGATCAGAATGTGACCGATAGGATTTATCAGGAGAGCCATCGGTCAAGCTATCGATTACAAGTGATCGATAAGCATCTTATCAGTCACCATATCAGTCAAAGCATGACCGATAGCCCCGCGAGGTAAGTCTTCAATTTTTCAAAAAAAAATTCTCTCTCTTGGTTTGGAGCCAAGAAGGTTTAAATTTAAATTTAGCTCCTTCCTGACACTTAACAGATCTCCTGGGCACTTTTGTTCTTGTCCCCCCACCCACTTGATTCCCTTGGTTCCTCATTAACCTTTTTATAAACCAACAAACTTCCTCTTTCTCTTCACACTTCATTTTCTTACTTCTCTCAGCTAAAGCTCGAAATTCTATCTCTCTTTTTCTCTCATTTATCTCTTCTAACTGCTCAGAAGCTCCACAGAGGTTTGCTTCCTCAACTGTTCATCTCTTGTTCCTAAATTTTAAATTTGGTTAAAGTGGATAAATCTATGGTTTTAAGAACAAGATTTATTTAGTTTAAGGTGTTTTTCTTTGATTTTGCATAGTGGATATGTTTAATATGTGCAAGTTGAATGTTTAAGCATTGTTTACTGTTCATAAATCTCATTTTTTTTGGCTTGTTTTAATTTCACTTTGCATAATCATCTTCACTTTTGCTTAGAGCCACCATGCTAGGTTTACATGCATAAATGTTTGATTTTATTATGAACTCTAGCATGTATATGAGTGTTAGCTTGTGAATTCCTCTAGCTCTTTGAAAGTTTAGTCTTGTTTAAGGACTAGTTAAACTTCTTTTAGCTTAGAGAGATTCTTTCTAAAGCTTTTAGTCATTGGTTTCTCAACTGTTGTTCTTTTACTCATAGTATCTTCAAGCTTTGTTCTTGTAGGTACCATGGGGAAATCAAAAACTGCTGCTGGATGCAAAGGGAAAGCACCTCAAGAGGAAGCGCCTACTTCTCCAAGAGCTAGAAGAGATAAGGGCAAAGGTACTGCTGCTGGGCAGTCATCAAAAGCTGCTGGGAAGAAGCCAGTTGGAGACAAAGCTGCTAAGCCCAAAGGAAAGGGCAAAGCTGTAGAGGAAGAGGTCCCATACAAGGAGCCAAGTGCTAGAGAACTCATGGAGGCCTTCAACTAATGCACTTTCAAAGCTACAAGATACCTTTGTGCTAACACCATGAAAGCACTTGGGATCTATAGAGATTGCAAGAGCATGTACCCTAGCAGACAGAATCAACTACGGCACCTCTTCAATGACTTCAACTCCACCAAATCGCCACACTATATCAGAGTAGTAGTCAAAGGTGAAATGAATCTGCGAAGCCTCTGTGTTAGTGTGCATAGTCTCTGTTTTCTAGTAGAAACATTGTAAGGAATGACCAGAATAAAATGATAAATAACCATTTTAATTAATTAACATAATTAATTAATATAACTAAATCTAAATGGGTAAAAGGATAGTGCTAGTATTTAAAATTATTGTAAAAAATGATCCATTTTAACAATATTTTCTCGAAATTGGTCAGAACATTTCCTCTACGTTAAAAGCATTGATCATTAGTTAATTGCTTGTTCTTATTTTGTTTATTGCTATTACTTTAAAAACATTGTTTAAGACCTAGTGCTTGTTTGTTATTGGTTTTGTTTTCTTGTTTATTAGGTTGCTAGAAACACAAATTATCTTTGAAATTGCTTTGATTAAAACCTTTCATACATTTTTTGTGTTACAACTATCCTAGTAGATTGACATCTCAAAATATCATAATAACCTAAGTAGTAGATATTAATATTTTAGTACCGAAACATCTGATATCACTAAGTTAATATCAAATTGTGTGTTTAATATATTCAATTTTTGAAAAACATGAGTTGAGATATGTTTATACAATCTATCACTGTTCGGCTATTTGTCCTTACATTTAATCATAGTTCAAGCACTTATATGTATGTATTTCCAATTATATGGGACATATGGTTGAAACAAGCTACAAATCTATTTTAGATAAATATATATAATAAAATAATGGTGAGAAGCAACCTCTCATGCATTGGGTATCTCCAATGTCCATCCAAAAAATCTCAAGCGAGAAACATGTCGAGACAAGAGCAAGGTTCTTGGACAGGTGATCATGCACACTTTAGTATCAGATTCAATGATAATTCAACTCTTCTTTTTCAATAGAAATAACAAATAAAAGTAAAGCTTCGGGGGTATAAAGTTGGCTACATGCACCTCTAAGTTATTCTCTATTATAACTTAGTGGGTATAATCATAAAGCTTCTTTATGCAAAGGAAAGATATGTATGCTCCTTTTCTTCATTTATATTATTATTTAAAGATTTAAACTAACTTTTTCGTAAAATAGATCTATCTGATTATGATCGTGGACAAAAAACATGAACCCTTCTTTAGTTTTTAAAAGCCTATCATTAATTTCTATCTTCAACTTATAAGCTTTTTTCTTCCACTCTTTTTTTTTCTCCGAACCCAAAATTTATATCTCTTTCTTGCATTTTAAGTTAGCTCATCCTTATTCCTCTTGATCTATCCCTGAAATGAGGTTCAGATTTTTTCCCTTTGTTGTTCTCTTCTTTTTTTACTTCAACAACAACCAATCATGGGGGTGGATGAACACGAACCAACAACCTCAATTCTTCAAACTTATGAAAAGCTCTCTCTTTGCGGCCGCTTTGTCCTCCTGGAATATCTCTGACGAGAGTACTTTGTACTGTAACTTCACCGGCGTAAGCTGCGACGATCAAGGGCAAGTCACCGATCTTGATTTTTCCGGTTGGTCTCTCTCCGGGATATTCCCAGATAGGATTTGCTCTTACTTACCAAACCTCCGTGTGCTTCGTCTCTCTCACAACCATCTGAATAGAAGCACCAGCTTTCTCAACACCATCACTGAGTGTTCTCTTCTTCGAGAGATAAACATGAGTTCTCTCTATCTCACAGCCACACTACCTGATTTCTCACCGATGAAATATCTAAGAGTCATCGACATGTCTTGGAACCACTTCACCGGTAGCTTCCCACTCTCGATTTTCAATCTTACCGATTTAGAGTATCTCCATTTCAATGAGAACCCAGAGCTCGATCTCTGGACTCTGCCGGATTATATCTCAAAGCTAACGAAGCTCACACACATGCTCCTCATGACGTGTATGCTCCACGGTAATATCCCGAGATCCATTGGGAAATTGACTTCCCTAGTTGATCTCGAACTTAGCGGAAACTTCCTCTCCGGCAAGATTCCAAAAGAAATCGGAAATCTTTCCAACCTAAAGCAACTTGAGCTCTACTATAACTATCACTTAACCGGGAGTATACCGGAAGAAATCGGAAATCTCAAGAATCTTACGGACATAGATATTTCGGTTAGCAGGTTAACCGGAAGCATACCGGAATCAATCGGAAGTCTTCCGAAACTCCGAGTCCTTCAGCTCTACAACAACAGCTTAACTGGTGAGATTCCCAAGTCACTTGGCAACTCAACAACCTTAAAGATCTTGTCTCTCTACGACAACTACTTAACCGGTGAACTCCCTCCAAATCTCGGATCTTACTCGCCTATGATGGCTCTTGATGTCTCAGAAAATCGGCTCTCGGGTCCTCTTCCAACCCAAGTTTGCAAATCTGGTAAGCTTTTGTATTTTCTTGTCCTACAAAACAGGTTCTCTGGTTCGATCCCTGCGACTTATGGGAGGTGCAAGACTCTTATACGGTTCCGTGTGGGGAGCAACCTCCTCGTGGGAGTTATACCACAAGAAATTACGTCTCTGCCTCATGTCTCCATCATCGATTTAGCTTACAACTTCTTATCCGGTCCAATACCTAATTCCATCGGAAATGCTTGGAATTTGTCAGAGCTGTTTATGCAGGGTAATAAAATTTCCGGTGTTATTCCTCACGAGATCTCTCATGCAACTAATCTTGTGAAGCTTGATCTTAGTAACAATCAATTAAGTGGTCCAATACCTTCAGAGATCGGGAGACTCAGGAAACTAAACTTACTTGTTTTGCAAGGCAACCACATCGGTTCTTCAATTCCTGAATCGCTTTCTAATCTCAAATCTCTCAACGTTCTTGATCTGTCCAGTAATCTCCTTACCGGAAGAATCCCTGAAGACCTCTCCGAGTTGCTCCCAACCTCTATCAATTTCTCCAGAAACCAGCTCTCTGGTCCCATTCCTGTCTCATTAATAAGAGGAGGTCTTGTAGAAAGCTTTTCGGATAATCCTAATCTATGTGTTCCGTCAAACGCTGGTTCATTAGAATTCAAGTTTCCGATGTGTCAAGAGGCTGACAGAAAGGAGAAGCTGAGCTCGATCTGGGCAATCCTTGTCTCAGTCTTCATCCTACTCCTAGGGGGCATCATGGTTTACTTGAAACAACGGTTGATTAAAAACAGAGCAGTGATAGAGCAAGACGAGACCTTAGCGTCTTCTTTCTTCTCCTACGATGTCAAGAGTTTCCACCGCATAAATTTCGATCAAAGAGAGATTCTCGAAGCTCTTGTGGACAAGAACATCGTAGGACATGGTGGTTCAGGTACGGTCTACAGAGTAGAGCTTAAATCTGAAGATGTAGTGGCGGTGAAGAAACTATGGAGCCAAAGTAGCAAAGACGCAGCTTCTGAAGACAGATTGCATTTGAACAAAGAGTTGAAAACCGAAGTTGAGACACTCGGGAGCATTCGCCATAAGAACATCGTCAAGCTCTTCAGCTATTTCTCAAGTTTGGATTGTAGTCTTTTGGTGTATGAGTACATGCCTAATGGTAACTTGTGGGACGCTCTTCACAAAGGCTTCGTTAATCTCGAGTGGCCTACTCGTCATCAAATCGCGGTTGGAGTCGCTCAAGGATTGGCTTACCTTCACCATGATCTCTCGCCACCAATCATTCATCGTGACATCAAATCCACAAACATCTTATTGGATATAAACTATCAGCCTAAAGTTGCTGACTTTGGCATAGCAAAGGTCTTGCAGGCTAGAGGAAAAGATTCAACGACAACCGTTATCGCCGGCACCTATGGTTACTTGGCCCCAGGTAAAATATAAAAGTCAATAAATCTTATTTCGTGAACGTTTAAATTTCAAAAAAAAGGAAATGTAAAAACTATTAGGGATAATATCCCACATCGGAAGTTGGAAGGGATCCTAACTAATATATAAGGAGCATGAGCCAATCCACTTACTGTCAATTGGTTTTAGGTTGAAAGTCCATGTAATTTAACATAGTATCAGAGTCTAATCCAAACCAAAGATGGTATGTCGATCCTTGCCCAAACATTACCGAGATCAATGGCCAAAATAGCGATAGTCCAATTGGTTTTAGGTTGGAAGCCCATATAATTTAACAAAAATAATCACATCTTGGCTGAATATGATCGCCATGGTAACTCTAAAAAACTAATTTAGATTAACAGCTTGTTCACATATGGATTTATCCGTTTGATTTAGAGTTTTGAATTGAAGATTCTAAAATAAATAATTAGAGACAATAGTGTATTTTGTATATATATATATAAACAAACGATATTTCTAAATTTAATATACCTTTATAAATTAATAGTCAATAAGCTAACAATTAATATAAATTAATGAATTTTGTTCATTTTGAATCGAACCAATATAAAAATTAGCAAATTTCTATAAGATAGTATAATAATATTTTTTTAGCACTAATAAAAAAATATAGTTCAGTAATTGGATAAATTAATAATTATATACTCAAATATATATTAATAATATAATATAGTATAATGTGATTTTACTGTTGTGTAACTTTTATAAATGTTGTTCGGCTTATCTTTCCAATTCATTGATATAATATTTTTTGAATGAAATTTACATTGTTGAAAAAAAAAATTGTCTCTTGATAAATAAAATTTTGAAATTTTATCATTATTAATTTTATTAATTTATAAAAGTTTTTACTATATAACATATTTCACAGGTAAAACGTCATTTTAATATCATCCCTTTCCAACAATTCTAAAAAGCTCATGCATGTGCTCGTGTGCTTTTTTCGAATGTAGTACGTACAATTTCAATTTTAGTTTTCCGTATTGGTTAATTGATGATATGCATTTGGTAATGGCAGAATACGCGTACTCCTCCAAAGCAACAATAAAATGCGACGTATACAGTTTCGGGGTTGTGTTAATGGAGCTAATCACGGGGAAGAAACCAGTGGACTCGTGTTTCGGTGAGAACAAGAACATAGTGAATTGGGTGTCAACAAAGATTGACACAAAAGAAGGTTTGATTGAAATATTAGACAAGAGATTATCAGAATCATCGAGAGCCGATATGATCAATGCATTGCGAGTGGCTTTCCGTTGTACGAGCAGGACTCCAACAATCCGTCCTACCATGAACGAAGTTGTCCAGCTTCTGATTAACGCAGCGCCACATGCAGGAGTCGACATGACCTCTAAATCCACAACAAAGGTTAAGGATGCAGTACTATCAGATAATATCACACAAACAAGAGTCTAGTCTTCTTGCTTTCTTGATAAAGATGTGTAGCAACAGTTCGTATAACTTCTATTTTATATCCTGTATTTATAATAGATGAAACTGCTTGCATCTTTCTACGTATTTACCATAAATCCTTTAAAGACTTAGATTATTTCCGGTTTTGCTTTTCCGATTTGAAATTAACCGGGGGAAAAAAGGTATTACTAGGGAAGATTATCAAAGAATAATTTAAACGTCTGCTTCAAAATAACGCATAGAATCTAACTGTGTATGTAGTAGACCCACCAATGAATCATAATAATTTACAAACTCCTTTTTCTCCGTGTGGACTTTAATTTCGTCATTCTTATTTATTCATCGGTGAGTGGAACTTCTTTTTCGATTGCATGGCATGGAATGGATTCTTGATTTTTATTTTTATAGACCTGAAAAAGGAAAATTTATTGAAAGGCAATACATACGTGTATATACAATACTAGATAAAAATCTGCGTATACGCATGTTTAAAAATTGTTTTATAACTCGTAAAAAAAAATTAGAAAACAACAAAAAAAAAATTAGATCACTCTTATGAAAACAAAAAAAATACGATTAAAATTTTTCAAATTAAAACCAGTAAATAATTTTAAAATTTATTTATTTATTTTATTCTCAATGGTTTCTAATTATATTTTTATATTTCCAAAATATTTAGGGATGTTATATTTAGGGGTTTTATATTAATTATAATGTGATAATTAATTTATTTACAATCTTATATATTCATTTACATGCATTATAATCATTATAATTAGAATATTATTACCTTATATATTAGTTTATAATTGAATATTTTATTATCTTATCATATATTATTACTCAAAAAATAAAATCTATCTATTATATTATTTGCAAAGAAAAAATCTTACGTGTCACGCTCACGTTTGCTCTCAGCAAACTTTAACCATCTTTCTTTCCTTTATACCCTTAATAAAAATCTATAAAATTTGCTGGGTTGGGCATTATTGATTTTGATTTTGATTTTAGGTCGTAGCCCATAAAATTATTCCGTGTAAACGCTAAATACATTTACTTATAAATATTGTAATTCTCTCTAGCCACTTTTTATTTTTTTTGCAGCCATATGTTTAGTTTCGTTCATATAGATCTTCCTGTAGGTTTAATTTAGTTCATGCATATCATAGGTTGCTTGTTTTGTTATATATAGTGTATGAGGCTGATTTTATGGGTTTTTGTTTTATAATATATGCAGAAAGGATAATACTGGTAAGAACCGAAATCCTCTTCTTCTCTTTTTGATCCAGACAAGGATGAACACAACACATATTGATGTGTTTAAATTCCACCGCAGATGTAGCGATTACTGATCCTGACGGTACGATAATCACTTTACAGATTGATTCTGACAGCATAACTTGATATTTGCTTTACCAGTAACAATTTTAACCTTATTTTTCTCTTTTTGACCTAGACAAAGACGAACAAGACATATCTCTCTATTGACGTGTCTGAATTCCAATTTTGATAGTAAAAATTGGATCTTTGCAGGAAACCAAGAAGTTTTCCCTTCTAGCTATATGTTTCTATTAATCGGAGAATTTTTTTTTTTTTCAATTCATTATTATCTCTATGTTTCTATTGTTTATTGTGTGATTGGTCATATAGGGCTTTATTGATTGATTACGCATGTGTTCATATAGCAGCTGATAATTTATATAGTGAAAAGGGTGATTCTCGGTTAATTAAAGCGATTGTGTAATACATGAGAAAAGGTAACATGACTATTTGTATGATTAAGCAGTCTTGTTTTTCTTTAGTTTCTTAAGTCTTATGTTTTAGTCGTGTTCTGTTATTATTATTATTGTTTCAATCAAAGTTAGTCTATTAATTATTTTGTTTGATTTTAGCAATGGTGTCTTTCTTGATTTTATAGTTAAATCATTTGTTCTTATCTCAGCTTATTTGTTCAATCGTTTTGCTGAATTTCTCTCTGTTTCTCTTTCTCCATTCAAGGCCTGCAGATTTCATGTTAGTTCTTCATTTGAGAGCGATGTTTCTGACATGAATATCAACGGTAATCACCTAACGAAAAACTGAATATTCACTGTCTCTGCTGCATTAAGTTGATTCCTTTAGATGTTTTGAGTTCTAGATATATAATTAAAAAAAAATTAGAAACTTTGATCTTTTTATGTGTGGAAATCTAGAGAAATTGACATGTATCTGAATTATAAGGGCTTAGCTATATGTCATGAATAATCATAATTTTCAAGAGGATGAGGTTTTAATTCTCATGGGTCTTCAACTCTTCGGTTACTTTGGTTTAAACCAACCAAGGTGATTTGCTTTCTATTGATGGAAAGAACATGAATCATCAATTTGCGTTTATTGTTTGTGTAGTGCAAATATGATGGTTGTAGTGCAATATGATGGTCTTTTGGTTCAGTTCCCTGGTTTGCTGTTTGCTGTTTGTTGGATCAGTTTCCTAAATGGTCTCCTATTAACTGAGAAACTTACATTGATCGTTTATCCACAAGGTACGAACTCTTTTCAGAACTATTTAGTAGCTTTGCACGGTATAGTACAAAACTCGAAAGCCTTATGAAATAATTGTCAAAACTTTGTAGATTCGAAAGAGAGGGCGAGCCATCGCATCTTGCAGCTATGGATTTCTTTGTTAGTACAGTGTATCCATTAAAGGAGCCACCTTTGATCACTGCAAACACGGTGCTCTGGATCCTCGCGCTGGATAATCTGGTGGATAAAGTCTCTTGCTATGTATCTGATAATAACGCTGCGATGCTTTCGTTCGGGTCATGTTTGAGACATCAGATTTTACTAGAAAATGGGTACCTTTCTGCAAGAAGTACTCGATCGAGCCAAGACAACGTAGAGCCATGAAAGTAAGTTAGCAAAGAGTTTTATAATCCTTAATTAAGTTCATAAGAACTGAATTAGTTATTTATTTCTGATTTCTCATGTTGTGCAGAGAGATTAGGAAGAGTTCAAAATCAGAATTAATGCTTTACTCGCCAAGGCTCAAAAGACACCAGAAGAAGGATGGACAATGCAAGATAAAATCTCTTGGCCTGGTAACAACACTCAGGACCAGGAGCGGATCTACCTGTTAAAAGTTGGAGCACGTGCCCCATACTAACTTTGCAAAATGTCTAATTGTACCTCTATTTTGGTAAACTAAATTAGCCTATAATTTGGTTAATTTTATTATTGATCCACATATTATCATGGATTAAGGTTCTCTTTCATTTTATTTTTAATTTTCATTTTTATAGTTAAATATTATATAATCTATAAAAAAACTAATCTATTTCTTTTCTTACTAATATCTTTACTTTTTTATCTTGTATTTTAATTTTAATTATTTTTTTAAATTCATTTCCTTAAATAGTTTACTAAATTAGTTATGTATTTCTGTTTAATTTTTCTTGGGCTCCTCACATAAATGTCAATTTTAAATTCAAATTTGAATATTTTGTATTTAAAAATTATAATATTTTTTGTATGCATAATGTATTTTTATAATAAACATATATTATTCTTCCTCAGATTATATAAACATTATATATATGTGTATCGTGCCCCATATAAAATATGGTTCTGGATCCGCCCCTGCTCAGGACCATCACGTGATGATTCAGATTTGCTATCTTAAACATTGGACATATATATGATTGCATCTTCCATTCAAACGTCTTAAGAGAAATTTATTCTGAATCTTTGATATTCTTTTGCAGGTGTTTCTTGGATATAGTGGTGCTTGTGACATTGAAGGAAACGAATTTCCGAGATTGGTTTACGTGAATGACGCCTAGATATCTGCATCACAAGAAGGTTGGGGGCAGAGAACACATTTGTAAAACTTCAAATTTTAGATTCTTTATTAATTGAAAATTTCACATTGCAAGTTGTAACACAACCCTAACGATTTTATTCTTTGTATAGGTGCGGGTTTCTGTGGTTTTAACGAATGCTCCATTCATTCTTAATATTGATTGTGATCACTACGTCAACAACAGCAAAGCCGTATGTGAAGCAATGTGCTTTTTGATGGACCCTAATGTTGGTCCAGATGTCTGCTATGTTCAGTTCCCACAGAGATTTGAAGGGATCGACAAGAGTGATCAATATGCTAACCTAAAAATTGTTTTTTTTCATGTAAATCCAACTCATTTTCTCGTAATTTCAAGAAAATCTTGGGGTTTCTCTGATTTGTACTATACCGTGCAGAGTATGAAGAGGCGCAGTAAATCTGATCTTTTTGTTACATGTGTACTTCATTTTACGTTTAACCTAAATGGGTCCTCCATGCACGTGTTGAGTACAGGCTATTAGGTTAATGATATTGTACTTTTTCAGTGCTGTGCCCTTTATGATTAAAAAAAAAAAAAAATCATAGATGGCTCTTTATAAGTTTCTTAAAGTTTACATGATTCTCTCTTTGTATTGTACGGTTAAAGAATTAGAAAAAAAAGTCATAGATGGCCATAAGCCGTATAATCTCTAGAGAAAATGTGAAAAAATATACAGTAATCTCAAATGTGAAGTAACCTTGAATAATATATAAGAGATCGGAGCTAATTCACTTATTGTTAATTATTTTTGAGTAGAACTTATAAAACTTAAAAAACAATGATTGAACTTCATCTAATAGACAAAATCAAGAAATAGAACTTTGGTCCAAGATTCATGTCGCTTCAGGCTCTGTTGCGGTCACACTGCAAGCTTGACGTGAAAGATTTCAAATCCAACCGCCAGACTTGGATCAGTTTTACTGCAAAAAAACAAACGATTCCCACCATATTGGTCTGATATCATAACTCTGATGGAATCTAATTACAGTATTCCTGTTGGTACGAAGAAAGTAAGCTTTTGGGGTTTGTATGGAAAGTAAAAAGCAGTTGTTTGTGTGTTACATGTGTTTGGATGGAAAAATTTGTGTTTGCAGAATTTAGATCATATGTTTGTTTTTTAAGGCTCAATTTATGATAATTAATGGGGATTACACATTTCGTCGGACATAACGAAAGTGTAAACCTTACTAAACTAATTCATATGGAATATTTAATCTTCTAAAAGTAGATTCATAAAGGAATATATATCGTTAAGTAAAACCTAATTAAGTTAAACCCTTTT